GGAAATTTGAATCAGAGAAGGGGCCATTTTGGAAACCGGCCCTTTTGTAAATATTTTGCATTTTAATAAATTGAAATATAATGAATTGATTTGAGGGCCAAATGTTGACCTCACCTTTTATCGTTAAAGTGTTTTATGGTGTGAAAATGCAAGCTATATACATAGCTGATTTTATGTCGCGACACATAAACCCCCCATTAGACTATTTGACAGGTATTGTTAAAAGGTTGCTACGAACATAGGTCCCTTAGGGTGCCCCTCCCCCCTTCTTGGTGCCTCCGTTGTTTTGAGGGTTTTGATTGGCTAACATCCCACGCTACAATCTGATTGGCTGTAGGCCTTTTTCTTCATCTTTAAGAACATTTTCAACCGCTCTATTTTGTGGAAGCATCTTTTTAGAAATTTATACCAACTTTGCCTTTTTGCAGTAAGAAGAACCTAATATTTCCAATAATCCCACTCACTGGTAGTTCAATATCCCTGTCCGGTAATATTCAAAATTATTGAAATATCGTATTGTCGTCTAACATGCTTGTTTAAAGTTTAATTTAGCAATGATGTGACAGTTATAACTGAAAGATGGAGGTTACTCTGTGCTGTTAGTTAAACAGTATTTACTTCTGGTAATTAAAAATACATTTTATTTTCAATACATAATCAACAACGATTCGGAAACAAATACTAAGTTTTATCTAATCCATATTTGAATTATTGTTTATGAAGATGTGATTTTGGTTTCAGATGTAACATGTCTATATACATATATCCAATCAGGATTACCTCTCTTTGCATGTCAACAATGTAATCAAAATTAAAAGTTTATGCTAAAAGCCTAGGAGCGAGTATGGGGTGTGTATAACAACGACAGCATGGTTTATTACTCGTACCTACTACTAACAAAATATTTCAACATCATTTGACTCAAGCCCTACGTTCAGCAAAGATGCTATTTCGCATTAGTTAGCCCTATAATTTCTAAAAATATTCCTGCAGAAAATTAGTCCAAATGAGTTTAATTAACCCAGATAATATCATATTCAGAATATTCGGCATCAGGAAAACGTGTTTTGTTCCTCAACGAACATATATGCATCACTGTGACAGATAGATATATTATCAAACAGGGTATATCTAGATTGTCATTTGGATCGGGTCGGCTAATAGAATCTTCCCCTACATTGAGGGTATGACAGAGAAATCTCTTACCCGAGGGGTTGATGTTCTTTGGTTGTCTCTGTTACACCCTAAAGGTAGGGGATGATTATGTTTCTCACATCCTATTATATCAGTCACAACTCCAACGACAGTAGTCTGCATGTTTGTAAACAAAAACACTTATGGGGTATGAATATTCTCATTTGCTTTTAATGACATCACAATTACCGGTGACACTTTTTTAATCACAATTGAACACGTGCTAATCGGCACGTGGCTATCTCTCCCAAAAGTGTGAAAAACTTATCTCTCCCGGTTAAAATGGAAGAATCACATGTGAAGGGTAGGAGAAATGACTATCTACCAGTTATATGTAAAGAATCATAAAAAGAAAATTCGTATTGATAAAAAATAGGCCCGGGGAAACACTAGAGGCACGAGTAAGAAGGAATATGCCGTTCACTTTATTCACCATTCCGGGATACACCGATGTTGTACCAACCGTCAAAAAATGAAAATAAAATGTTTAAGAGCCGATTTCTGGTGAAAAAGGTACCGATTCGAAATTTAAAATATTTGGCGGAGAGTTGTCTTTCGATAATAGTATTAACATGTATGACTATTACTATTGTGAAGAAAGCTTAAGCCTTGTGAAAAATAAACAGGTTGAGTAAAAATTCGGAAAAAGACAAAAAATATAAAAAGAAATGATCAAAAAGAAGAGAAAAATAAATTAAAAAAAACCAGTACGAAAATATACAAAGTAAATATTCATTGAAAGTTCAGTGGTATTTTGGATATTGAGCAGACTAACGAACAGATATATATTTTTTTGATAAAAAAAAACATATCTCCAAAAACACTTTATTTAGAAGCGTTTTCCTTCCATAAACATTGTCTTGTCACATTTATATACATATGTATAAGAAATACAATATATCTTATAACTGTATAATTGACCGTGAAAATCAACACCCATTGGAACATTAATTAAAGGCCTACGCCAGCAGCTAAAGTTGTTTTATTGACGGCTGGTGAAAGTAAAAATGTAATTTAATACCGCAAGCAAATGATCAGTGTTTCTACATGTAAATATGTACAATATAAAGGGAATCGTTAAAAGGATAATCCAAGGATCAGTTTGCTGCGGTTTTTCTTGTAAGTCATTCCCGTACTTAGATAATCATCAAGGGTTGTCCTTGACTATATATATTCAGTTTTTGTTAATGCATTGAATACAATCTGTTTTTTTTTTTTTTTCATTTTGATATTCTCATTTTCATAGATCTTTGACATATGCATATGCGAATATTCAGTGGTTGTTGAAGGCTGCCAGAGTTAAGGAGTCCTGGGATCAGCCCCCCGAACAATAAAGTGTCCACTCGCAGGTGGTCTTTCACTATTCGTACACCTTACATTCAATAGCTATGTTTATACATGTGTTATATATAAATATATATTTTATATAGTTATATTAAGTTTGTAAGTTGTCCCCGCGCATGCATGTATCAGCCACCCCAAAACTGTACCCGTCTGCGTCATGTCCCTGTAAAGTCTTTTACTTTGCACCCGGACAAGAATGGGGAAGTCCATTACCTACATGCACGCGGTATATTACTGTTTTTTTTTTATTTTATTTTTTATTACAATTATTTTTAACAATACAAAAAAGTAAAGTCTCATTTTGTTTATCTAATGACAGTATTCGATTAACAATTTCTAATCAAGTCCGTATGTATATAATTCACTTTTAATGCTTATGATTGAAAGAACCCCACTTATTCCACTCGTCCACTTTCATACATCCGTAAAGTTTGTAATGACTTACATTGTATAGGTAGTTGATCTAGGTATGTGAACATGTAAGTGACATAAAAGAGTTACACATATATTCCGGAAAATTTGTCCAGATTATTTTCTAGTTTTATAATTGTGTCTAACCATGTGCGTGTACTATTCAGGTGTTGGACAGGATTTATAATATTACGAATTGGGTAAGTTTTGTTCGCTTATATGGTAGGTCTTAAATACCGCGAAACCTATCAAACACAATATTATATTCGTGCAATCGTAATTTTTTTCTTGTATTTTGTATCCTAATAACAAATACCTTAGCTGTCTCATATTTTTACAGATACCTATGTTTTGAAAACCTTTATCCATTTTGTTCCAATAATTGTAAAGATATCTACAGTTGATAAAATAATGTTCAAAATCTTCTCCCTCTTGACAGACGTTACAGAGCTCTGAGTCAGCTAGGGTCATTCTGTTTAACATCTGTCTAGTTGGTATTTTATGATGAAATAATTTCCATTTGAATACTTTATACTTATTGTCTAATAATTTACTGAAAACAAATTGTAGCATCTGTTTGATTTCTATCGATCCATCTAAACCGAAATAATGTATCCATCGCACTTTGTTAATGTTTATCACATTTTTTTGTTGAGTAGCCAACCTATATACATCTTTATTTTTTAACTTCCCTAAGTTAAGATTAACTCGGTTTTTTTTTAAACAATAAACAGTAAACAAAAATGACATGAGAAAAAGCATCATAAAGATATACTGTATAAATAAGTTTAAATGAAACTTAAATGAGGAATAATTTAGATGAATAGAGCATCTGAACACCGCAATAGCAAAGAGTCAAGGAGCACCTTCCGCGTAACTGTCGTCTCATGTTGTTGGTATTTCGAAAGAAGACACAGGAACAATTCCTCTAATCCACATGTCATTAAAGACAGTGCGGTAACGCCTCGCTTACACATGTATCCGACTTTATTGAAGGCATTTCAGTTTGTAATGAGTCGTACATAAATTCTAAGGTGTTTGTCGATTTCTCCAGCTCGGCGCACATGCAGTCCAGCTGTAAATAAAATAATTATATGTACATAAGGTTATTTTTGTTTGTGTTTTATTAGCATAAAGTACATTATATAAATATAAGCGTCATGCATTGCAGACTTACTTTTAGAAGCTGGGTTGATACAGTTCCAATTAACTGGAAATTTGTATTAAAACAAACTAATTGTATAAACAGTATCTTACATTTTCATTAAACATAATAAAATTGATTAGAAGTACCTAGGACAGTCTGAAATACATTAAAGCAAAATAAATCCGAAAATATCAACGGAACTCAGTGATTGTGACGTCATTATCAGTTGTTGTCGTCCTTACTTCGTAAAATTAACCAATAGTAATTTCGTGTGAAAAATCAGTTGGTTAAATTTAGTAGTTACATTGACTACAACTAGAGGCAAAGTAAGCGTATTATTCGAGTTCTAATACTGCTTCTGAAGTTCAATGAATTCTCAATGAGTTAACTTAAAAATATGTAATGAGTTTATCTATAACCGTAGTTGTGCGTGCCTCGTGCAAGCATGGCGTGAGAAAACTAAACCCTAGCTGAAGGGATAGGCGATAACATCAGAATATCACACAAGTGATAACCTGATTTCTATGTATGCAGTTAATGTTGTCGTATTGTTTAAAAATGATTGTTAACTCTTTGTTATATGCTGTTATATGTAACTGTTCATGCTGCTTTCTTTATAAATTGACGGATTGCTTCGAAAAATGGACAAATTCCTTTGACTGCACTATCATTATCCCTTCTTTGTATATATATATTTACATAATAAATACGGCACTCAATTGTCTGGCCAAGACATATTCTCAGTTCCTATGACTTCAAAGCAAAGGTTTCGATACTGAAATGGCCAATAGCCCAATACTATCAACATAGTCGTATTGACAAATCGTCTATTGGTAATCTGAGTACCTTAATCGCAATGTATAGACATACACATGGAAACGAATCATACAAATGGTATTGGATAGATTTTCTCACTATCTTTACTTACATTTGGGTCTACTAATTAACCTGAACCCACGTCTTCAATTAACATTTCGCCATAATTAGCCTTCTGTTTCAAGCCTACCGAGGAGATACGCGATTACATCAGAAGATGTCATAAATGACAATGGTTTTTTTTCTTTATTGATTTTCGTATTGTTTAGTCTTGTAAAAGAAGCGGACTGCCTTAAAACAAATGCGAGAAAAAAAAATCGTTTGACTGCACAGTCGTTATTAGTTTTCTGGTAATATTTACATAGCAGTATATATAACAACACATTGAAATATATTTCTATAATGTACTGTAGATGAAACTCATGTAGTGGAAGATATCGTGATAATACATAGATATATACACCTTAAACTTTAACATGATTTGTACTCACACATGTTTCCATCTCCTCTAGTTTCCTAATCTTTTGTTTTATTGAATGCCTGCTTGGATGATGGTTAGCTGAAACATTAACAAGGATGATGGTAACGATGCTGCTGATACATTTAAATGTCGTCCAATGAATATTGATTAAATATGACTGGATACTGACAAGATGTGACAACGTACAGTTTACAACAAATTTAAAGATTTCAGTAAATTCAGTATCTATATATATGTATATATAAAACCTAAAATCACCCATATAACTATTGATAGTTTGTTATCAAAGTCAAATATCATTCGTAATATGTTACGACTGTACTTTGATAATTTTAAACGCATAATAAACATTATGAATTATGAATAAATTAACAATGACAGTGCTTTTCTGAAAACCCGGGAGATATTCAACTTAAACTAAAGTATACATTGCTGATAAGGTACCGTGCTTATGAAATATACGCAACAAAGGATATTTGTAGAATATAATAAGATTAATGGTAATAAATTATTAGGTACCAAGACTATTTCAATAATATTTACAATAAATGACTACACAGTTTTATCATAATTATGATATGAATTATGAACACAAACCTTCTCCGGGTTTCAATTCCACCAAGAGAACGATAATGAATACAGTTATCATACTCAGTGATCGCATCGTGGCTGTATTCCTCATATGTAAAATTGAAAATGAAGCTGATGAACATTAGCCGCTTTGTATACAGAAAGCATGCCCAGATCGTAGCTTCTGGAAGTGTTATGCTTACAGAATGTAAAAATAACAGTCAAGCCATCAGTAACAATAGCTGATGAGCTACTAAATATATGTAACCCGGATGTTCCTGTTTCCATTGGTGACAAACACAAAGAATCCTTCTGTCACAGTCTTCATAAACATGTTATACGGTGTGCATGTGGCTACCTTTTTTATATAATGGAAAAAGCAAAAGAAAAGAATCTTACTCACAGATTCAGATGGGATGGGCTACTTTGCTCAACCCATACCGTTCATTGCCGACCTTTCATATCCGGTTAATCTACAAAAAATGTATTGGCTCGTGAAAGAAAGACAATATATTGTTAGCTTTAATAGATAATAATGTAATACAATGCGGTATTATTGTGAAATTTGAGAAATTAATACACTGACAGTTTAATGAATGTAATTGTCGTTATGTAACTGATATATTAATTTTGTAATAGTTAAGGGAGCGTGTTCTTTATTTTAAAATAAGACGCAAGAAAAGCTTACAGTGTAAGCTTGTCTTTATGGCTGATACATATCTGCATACACAAACAGTGCTCGAAGTATATCGAATGGAATGCCAAAGTATATCGAATGGAATGCGCAGCGTAGTGATCATTTTGCCTGATGTAGTTTGTATTACAGTCCTATCAAACAAAGGATCATATAGAGCATGTGAACGTTTTAAACTTAAAACGATTTGTATATTTTTTCTGTGGTGTAAACTTCAGAATTTTGTTTTTGAATTTTACAACTGTTGAAACTAAGAATAACATGTTATTCAGTATTATCAGTATTTACAGTATTAACCTCAAACAAGTTTAATGTTTCAAGATGGGAACAGAGAGAAAAAGATGATAACCGTATTGATAAATTAATAATGGTTTTAATGATATTTAATGTTTGTCTGTTAACACAGTCGTATAAAAGGTTTATTGGGAAATGGCATAAATAGCATTACTGAATAACGTAGTACATTTAAAGTCTTACCTAATTATTATATTTCATCATATTTACAAAATAAATGTTTGACGGGATAGGTTGATAGGGTCAACGTACCGATACCATGTTGCGAACTAACAATGATACATTTAGGTCGTGGGATACGTAAACCAATGGTGTATATGTTACTATTAATAGCTTTCTCCAAAAGGATTCAGAGAAGTCCGTCAGCGTCGAGACTAGACTGGCCACCGTCTCTAGAATATTGAATTATTAAGAAAAACGTTTAACTCAAAAACATTTGATCACTTGGATGACTGATCCTAAGTTCTAAGCTAGGGGGAGATAAGCTAGTAGTAAAATGCAGCTGAGAAATACTTCATAAAAACTTGGGGGCTGGTAGCCAGTCTACGTCGTGACCAATAAGCTTATGTTTAACTGTGTTAAGAAAACACTGGCCAGTTTATTTACAAAAATAGCCACTTTATGTTTTATTCATGACAGGGATCAAAATCTATTTCACGTAAAAGGTATTGAAAACAATATGCAGAGTCAAACAACGTACAGGAGGACCATAAATAACTATTTAAAAACACCGAGGCATTCTGTTGCTAAATCAGTGTTATATTTTATTCACATTATGTATAACTAGGGATGTACACTTAATACCTTTAATCTGGGAAGCATACATGTTAGTAACCTATCTTCGCAAAAAAACATTATAAATAAAAGGATATTTTTTTCATCATTCTTTTTTTCCAGAAATCATTATGATTCACTGTTGTTGCCCCCAGTTCCCTTTCCAAAAAACCAGCTGTGAAACGCTTCGTCATTATTTAGTGGTGTTGGGTGAAGTCTTTACAATTTTGTGTGAAATTTAATATATAACTATTATTTGAAAATGTTGCATTGTGATCATGTCAGACAGCTTCACCTAAGCCAGAAAATTATTAAACAAAAGGTCTTTAAAATAACAAATTACTCCTTAATAGTAGTAAATCAGATTATATTAACTTCATTTAAATAAGAGCTGGGGAGATAATTCGGTTATCATATAAGAAACAGTTTCCTAGCTATGGTTAAAACCCAACACATACACCAAGATACTTTTATTGACTGAAATATGTTCAGAAACAAATATTATGTGTATTTAGATTTTACTGATGACTTTTTCCTCACCATCTTGTCACAGCAAGCCGCAATCTCTCTCTAAATTACATATTTGTTCAGCCACTTTGAACTCAAATACTTTGATACAAAGGCCGTAAGGAGAGTATTATTGACAGCAAAAACATTGATTGGGTACAGGGGTTAAATAAAAGCCTGGTGTATCATCAACAGATACATTGAGTTTGTTAAATCAATATCATAAATCTGTTCTTATAATATTCACAATAACAGAATTCAAAACAAAATGCATGTACTTGTTTTAAAGGCAAAGCACGGTGAATTAGATACATAAAATAGCCACTGGAACCAGGGAGACAATCAAACAATAGTCTTAATTAATATGTAAATAATTTTAGTCTATTAATCTAACATTAGATATGAAAGTATTTTAACAATTTTTGTAAGTAGAATAAAAGATATTTAAAGTGTACTGATTTATGCGCAGAATACGTGAGGTTCAGTAAAGATTTATCTGTTGAAACTATATTTAATTGACCGATCGAGATGATTAAAATTCACATAGAATAGAATGTTTTTCATTTCTTTTCATTAAATCAATGAGATGAGTCTGATTCAAATGTTAAGAATTTATGAAGAAATGCAATTGCTTCATATATCTCGAATAAAACCACAGTCTAGTGAAATATTTCAAATTAATGACATTTTTGATAATTTGATATATATAGTTTGATAACTACATCAATGATTCACTTGTGTTGGTGTAACTATATCGACCGGATAGGTGCTTCCCCTAGTGACACAATGTTATGTGTAATGTGTAGGAGTACCGTGGTATATAAATAGAACTTCAGTGACAGCTTACCGTTAAACACTGAAGAAATAATAAAGTTGACTTACCTTCATAAAATAGCGTTAACATGAATATATCATTGGTATTCATCTTCATTTTGATTTCAACGTTGTCGTTAATGACTCCAGAAGGTAACTTTGTATTCCTATTATACCACTAAACATGTCTTTTGTCGTGTTGCCTACACGAAATATGACTCTGAGCGGGTTTTATTACACCGCGACAGAGTAGCGTTAGTGTGCCTCAGTAGTTTAAATAGAAGATTCCTACTCGAGATGTACCGTCGCCCATATCAAAGCAGTTATCATATGATTATAATGTTAACGAAACAAACCCATCTTCTTGCTTTTCATATGAAATTGATTTGTGTTTGTTTTTTCGCATAACAGCGGAAGGTCGCTCCACTAACTGTACCCGAAACAGGCTGAATACCGATAGTTTTAAGTGCGTCAGCAAAGATCTGCTTGACAAGGTAAATAACATTAAAAAAATATTGAAGCATTTTGATTAATTGATTTTGATTATAAATGTTTATAGTTGATGCAATTTATCCAAATCTTACTGTGATGAGTGATAAAAGACATTGATACAAGGGTGAATTTCAAGTCCGAAATCAGTATATGCTAACTGAGAATTGTTTTTACACGTATTCTTTTATCTCTCTTATATAATTATTTTAGTCTGTCCAATAAATACACTATAAGTAACAAAGATATACCGTAAAGTATAGGATTTATAAATCAAGGATTGATTTAAACAATATACACGCACAGGAAATACCAGATATTCTCCATTTGAAACATTAATTTCTTTTTTATTGAAATGGTGAGAAGTTGATGAATATCGTTTAAGCAATGCTTGATTATCATTTTCTCCGATTGACTATTGACTATATTTTTGTGATACATTTCTTCCTTATTATATATATATATACATCCATCAAAACTAAAAGCAATGAATATGTATTGAGGGGAAATATTTCGACCGATTACTTATATAGATTTCTAGTAAACGGTTATGATTCACTGAATGATATCGTTCACAAAAATAATTGTAATTTTCAAACTAGATTATTAACGACAAAATAGTAGGCATTTGCTATGAAAGATGTTTTGTATATTTTCATAAGTCCACATACATTATTATTATTCGACATCATATCTCAGATTATAAAGGAAACCAATATCCAAATATTTGTATTATTTACCTGAATAATGATTATCAGAATGATTTCAGTGGTCAGGTACTGTATCTTAGATGTAATTATACCATAACTTGAAAAATGTGTAATTGAGCCACAACGTTATTTAAAGCCAGATATTTTGAAATGTTGATTTAGATAATTAACGACTGGAAGAGAGTGCATGGTAATATGTCTGGTGAAATGACAACGATTTTATCAAAAAAGTATTTTTCAGTTTTCAGTAAAATCGGTTTGTCCCCTTGGATGTAGTCGAAACCTTTTAAAAATATGATAATTATCAAAGATTATGTTAATGATAAAACAAAGTATGTACACTTTGTTTTAAAACAATGTAATCGTTTATTGCTCAACTGAACTGCATTAATATAAAGACACTTCATAATTTGAACAAAATCTTATAACTATTTGAAGTTTCAAAGGCAAACTCAAAAGCACCTTTTAGTTCTGGTATTAGTGTTAAAGAGACATAAGCACCTTTTAGATCTGATATTAGTGTTAGAGAGACATAAGCACCTTTTAGTTCTGGTTATATTGTTAAAGAGACATAAGCACCTTTTATATCTGGTATTATTGTTAGAGAGACATAAGCACCTTTTAGATCTGGTATTAGTGTTAAAGAGACATTGTTGAAATGAAGAGCAAAGAGAACATAGGTCCTTCATATATTGTTAATATCTTTCTTATGCCATACTTTCAGATGGACAGACTTAATTCACTGATAAACAGAACAATACAATGCAAGGATGACATCATTTCGGCGTAAAGAAATTAACGGAATCGACCCCAAACAACTCTTGTTCATAATAAGGATCATCACTTTGTCGTACATATGTAACAACACTGCCTACTATTCTTTTGCTCTATCCTGATAAATGAAACCATGACAGTTTATATGTCCGCACACATGTATTCAACTGAAATGAAAGTTTGAACCTTGTAACATGTTTTGCATATGTGGGTTACCATATACAATAGCCTGAATGAGGCAGTAGTTGTATCAACACGGTTGCATTTCACAGCTAACTTAAATGCATGCAGGATTTTACCAGTATTACGTTACAATGGCCTTGCAGTATCCGACTTTGATACAACATTACACGTGACATGAACTTGTTTTTGATCTCAGCTGATGGTGTTCGTCAGTACTTTACTTATAACATCCGATCTTCTAGTTCTCTTTATTATGTTAGTTGATTATGCATTTGTACTTCAGTTTGCGTAAACCTAAGATGTATGGTTTCTCTGTAAATATAATTTTTGTTCTATTGTTTGCATTTTTCAGATAAAAATTTACCTTGATTCTTTGCATTGTTTTTTTCTTTTCATGCCACATATATAGATATTGAATAGTAAACATGTACAAAATGTATTTGCATATCATAACAGACTAAAACACATGGGGAAGTTATGTTATGTTTATATTCATATAAAAAAAACAACACTATAGATCCACTACAATTCTATAAAAGCCATTTTATATCACGAGACATATAATGTATCATACAGCCAAAATCCAGAACAAGACAATAATATTTATTAACACTTTTTCACCCTCATCTCATACATACATTTTTTTCATAATGTATTGTTTAAAAACAGGATGGCATAAAGAAAAATAGAAAAAAAACAAAAACTAAAATGTTTTTATTTTTAAGTGTGAAGCATATATTCCTAATTAATATTATAGATTAATCGTCTGAATCTAAAATATCTGCAACTTATTTTCATGAAAACTAAATTGCTGTACACTATGTTCGACTAAGCAGAGTATGTACATTCACGCTGGTTTCGCGGATTCTTTAATCATGTTGTAATTTACAGGCCTTTAGCGCCCATTTAGATATTCTATTGTTAATTTTGGTATCTTATCATAATGCGATTGATCCTTATTTTATATAAACGTACATAACCTTACATACTACAATACTTCCGTAGTGTACGTGTCTTGTTTTATTCAATTCCAATTGTTCATTACATGTACATGACACAGACATTTCGATAAAGATAAAGTGGCTCCACATACAACGCTATCCGCAGATTAAAAACAGGGAGTTATTCTCTAACCGATATCTTTCTGATATCCACAGATGATCTGGTGCAAAGTCTCTAGATACACTTTTTAATATTTCTTCCGCCTGGTCAAATATAATTAACACCACCACGGAAAATATTATATACAGATGATAAAGCAGTAATACATTGTTATCAAAGTACACTACTTTATTGCATTTTGGCGTGCACAATGTATGTATATTTAATGACACGTGATCACCAATTAGTAAAACGAAGCTAACGAAATATAGAAGTGTATATTGCTATCAAGTTCCGACAGCGGTTTGTTACCAGGCGACCATTATGGAAGCTGATTACATTAAAATGAACAATTCCACACGTGTTATTATTGACATAGGTTATTTGATCGGTTATTTAATATATCATTGTACAAACCAGGAATTTGATTTACAGAGAAATTACATGTACATTACAACCCACATCACATATTATCAGACTTTTACCAGAACGCATTAATAACTTATACAGACTCACAGTTCAGATATTGTCCTTGTCTACTAACGATGTGGATTATACTATAATTCACTTTACCTAAAATGGTATTGATATCGTCAACATGTGCCATTTCCTGAGTCCAAAATTCCATTTATAAAACAATTTTAATGTCTTTATTTCGCACTCATCTGACCCGATAAGTTAATGCTACAGTCGTGTCCCGAGTGCATATCTTGGGTATATGGAAATATAATTGTAATAATACACAATGCACACACTGCACAATACACAATGTAGTGTAACAAGCTAGATAAACAATCATAAAAGTTATTCCTCGTCATCAGTCGTCCATTAACTTTGTTTCTCGTTCAAAGTCTCGAGTTCAGCAATCTCGTTGTCCTGGTTTCGATCTTCTCGTAGCCTGAATAAAACAACAACCCATGGGTTACTCGCCTTGTCTATGTTTGTTTATCGGTCAAGATCAATTATAAAAAAACAACCCATGGGTTACTCGCCTTGCCTATGTTTGTTTATCGGTCAAGATCTAGTATAAAACAACATCCCATCGGTTACTCGCCTTGCCTATGTTTGTTTATCGGTCAAGATCAAGTATAAAAAAAACAATAGATGTGTTACTGTGTTTCCCAATGTTTATGTATCGATAACACTATACTGTATTAAACAACAACCAACGTGTTACTTTAATCCATCATGTTTATTATTGATAACGTTATAGTGTTAAACAATAATACATGTGTTACTCTCCACTCCTATGCTAATTATCGATAACGCTCTGTTATTAAACAACAATAAATGTGTTACTCCCCTCTCCCATGTTTTTGTATCGATAACGCGCAGTATTAAACAACAATTGATGTGTTACCCTCCTATCCCATGATAACGCCTAGTATTAAACACCAATATATGTGTTACTCTCGTATCCCGTGATAACGCAAAGTATTAAACACCAATTGATGTGTTACTCTCGTATCCCGTGATAACGCAAAGTATTAAACACCAATATATGTGTTACTCTCCTATCCCATGATAACGCCTAGTATTAAACGCCAATTGATGTGTTACTCTCATATCCCATGATAACGCGTTGTATTAAACATCAGTTGGTGAGTTACTCTCGTATCCCATGATCACACCTAGTATTAAACACCAATTAATGTGTTACTCTCCTATCCCATGATAACACGTAGTATTAAACACTAATCAAAGTGCTACTCTCCTATCCCATGATAACGCGTAGTATTAAACAACAATTAATGTGCTGCTCTCCTCTCCCATGATAACGCGAAGTATTAAACATCAGTTGGTGAGTTACTCTCCTATCCCATGATAACACGTAGTATTAAACACTAATCAAAGTGCTACTCTCCTATCCCATGATAACGCGTAGTATTATAAACAAATTATTGTACCACTCTCCTATCCCATGATAACGCGTAGTATTACATGTAAACACCAATTGATGTGCTACTCTCCTATCCCATGATAACGATAAGTATTAAACACCAATTAATGTGTTATTCTCCTATCCCATGATAACGCGGAGTATTAAACAACAATTAATGTGCTGCTCTCCTCTCCCATGATAACGCGAAGTATTAAACACCAACTGATGTGCTACTCTCCTATCCTATAATGACGCCTAGTATTAAACACCGATTAATGTGTTACTCTCCTATCCAATGATAACGCGTAGTATGAAACACCAATTAATGTGTTACCCTCTTATCCCATGATGACGCCTAGTACTAAACACCAATTGGTCTGTTACTCTCCTATCCCATAATAACGCGTAGTATTAAACACCGATTGATTTTTTACTCTCCTATCCCATGATAATACGTAGTATTAAACACTAATCAAAGTGCGACTCTCCTATCCCATGATAACGTGTAGTATTAAACACCATTTGAGGTGTTACTCTCCTATCCAATGATGACGCCTAGTACCAATATATGTGTTACTCTCGTATCCCGTGATAACGCAAAGTATTAAACACCAATATATGTGTTATTCTCCTATCCCATGATAACGCGTAGTATAAAACACCATTTGATGTGTTACTCTCGCATCCCATGATAACCCGTAGAATTAAACACCAAGTAATGTGTGACTCTCCTATCCCATGATAACGCGTAGTATTCAACACCAATTGATGTGTTACTCTCGCATCCCATGGTAACCCGTAGTATTAAACACCAAGTAATGTGTGACTCTCCTATCCAATGATAACGCGTAGTATTAAACAACAATTAATGTGCTGCTCTCCTCTCCCATGATAACGCGAAGTATTAAACATCAGTTGGTGAGTTTCTCTCCTATCCCATGATAACACATAGTATTAAACACTAATCAAAGTGCGACTCTCCTATCCCATGATAACACCTAGTATTAAACACTAATCAAAGTGCGACTCTCCTATCCCATGATAACTGTGTTACTCTCATATCCCATGATAACTCGTAGTATTAAACACCGATTGCTGTGTTACTCTCCTATCCCATTATAACGCGTAGTATTAAACACCTATTGATTGGTCTGTTACTCTCTTATCCCATGATGACGCCTAGTATTAAACCCCAATTAATGTGTTACTCTCCTATACCATGATAACGCGTAGTATTAAACAACATTTAATGTGCTGCTCTCCTCTCCCATGATAACGCGAAGTATTAAACATCAGTTGGTGAGTTTCTCTCCTATCCCATGATAACAAGTAGTATTAAACTCCAATTGATGTGTTACTCTCCTAACCCATGATAACGCATCTCTCATATCCCATGATAACGCGTAGTATAAAACACCATTTGATGTGTTACTCTCCTATCACATGATAACGCGTAGTATTAAACAACAATTAATGTGCTGCTCTCCTCTCCCATGATAACGCGAAGTATTAAACATCAGTTGGTGAGTTTCTCTCCTATCCCATGATAACACGTAGTATAAAACACCATTTGATGTGTTACTCTCCTATCCCATTATAACGTGTAGTATTAAACACCATTTGAGGTGTTACTCTCCTATCCAATGATGACGCCTAGTATTAAAAACCAATTAATGTGTTACTCTCGCATCCCATGGTAACCCGTAGTATTAAACACCAAGTAATGTGTGACTCTCCTATCCAATGATAACGCGTAGTATTAAACGCCAATTGATGTGTTACTCTCATATCCCATGATAACTCGTAGTATTAAACACCGATTGATTTTTTACTCTCCTATCCCATGATAAGGCGTAGTATTAAACACCAACTGATGTGCTACTCTCCTATCCCATGATGACGCGTAGTATTAAACAACAATTAATGTGCTGCTCTCCTCTCCCATGATAACGCGAAGTATTAAACACCAACTGATGTGTTACTCTCCTATCCAATGATGACGCCTAGTACCAATATATGTGTTACTCTCCTATCCCATTATAACGTGTAGTATTAAACACCACTTAATGCGTTACTCTCCTATCCCATGATAATACGTAGTATTAAACTCTAATCAAAGTGCTTCTCTCCTATCCCATGATAACGTGTAGTATTAAACACCATTTGAGGTGTTACTCTCCTATCCAATGATAACGCGTAGTATTAAACACCTATTGATTGGTCTGTTACTCTCTTATCCCATGATGACGCCTAGTATTAAACCCCAATTAATGTGTTACTCTCCTATACCATGATAACGCGTAGTATTACAAACAAATTATTGTACCACTCTCCTATCCCATGGTAACGCGTAGTATTACATGTAAACACCAATTGATGTGCTCCTCTCCTATCCCATGATAACGTGTAGTATTAAACACCACTTAATGCGTTACTCTCCTATCCCATGATAATACGTAGTATTAAACTCTAATCAAAGTGCTTCTCTCCTATCCCATGATAACACGTAGTATAAAACACCATTTGATGTGTTACTCTCCTATCACATGATAACGCGTAGTATTAAACACCAATTGATGTGTTACTCTCGCATCCCATGATAACCCGTAGTATTAAACACCAAGTAATGTGTGACTCTCCTATCCCATGATAACGCGTAGTATAAAACACCATTTGATGTGTTACTCTCCTATCACATGATAACGCGTAGTATTAAACACCTATTGATGTGTTACTCTCCTATCCCATGATAACGTGTAGTATTAAACACCAATGTATGTGTTACTCACCTATCCCATAATAACGCATAGTATTAAACACTAATTAATGTGTTACTTTCCTATCCCAGGATAACGATGGTAGTATTAAACACCAATTGATGTGTTACTCTCGTATCCCATGATAACGCGTAGTATTAAAAACCAATTGATGTGTTACTCTCCAATCCCTTGATAACGCATAGTAGTAATCACCAATTGATGTGTTACTCTCCTAACCCATGATAACGCATACTATTAAAACAAATTGATGTGTTACTCTCCTATCCCATGATAACGTGTAGTATTAAACACCACTTAATGTGTTACTCTCCTATCCCATGATAAGGCGTAGTATTAAACACCAACTGATGTGTTACTCTCCTATCCCATGATAACGTGTAGTATTAAACACCACTTAATGTGTTACTCTCCTATCCCATGATAAGGCGTAGTATTAAACACCAACTGATGTTTTACTCTCCTATCCCATGATAACGTGTAGTATTACACACCAATTGATGTGTTACTCTCCTATCCAATGATATATAGAGGTTACACAACGAGTGGTTGTTGAGTATGGTATTTATTTCACTCGAGTTAGTTAATTTTTAAAAGTTACAAAATACACGAGCTTTAGCGAGTGTCTTTCTGTAACTTTTGAAAATCAATTAACGAGAGTAAAATAAATACCATACTCAACAACCACGAGTCGTGTGATCTGTTTCTACCAGGGACACCGGTTCTCTCTTTGAGAACGTTACGTTATTTCGATTTGACCTACGTCTGTACGGTTGAAGTCGCCGATCAAGTAGAAGATATATATTTAACACAAATCGTATAAGCTTTTTAAATCTTGTCAATAGTGTCCTCCTTGATTAGCTTTTATTCATATTTGCTCCTCGTTTCATCGCTTCTGAGCTCAATTTACGGTTTTGGTTGTGTTATAACATACGGAAATAATGTTTTTCAATCGCACGGAGAGAGAGTTGTTGGAGTTGTTATAATAATAAGCAATAATTTGAAACAAAAATCCCCACAAATATGTTCGCTCATCATTTTGATTGCAAATCCTGTCGTCGTAAGTTCTGTCATTGATGTAAACCTGCACAGTAAATCTACATCTATGTAACCAGTTTGTGTTCTTTACCTGCAAACGAGTAAGCGAATTCTAACTGAAATCTGTTACCAATTACAGGCACGTTGAAGTTAGGTGTAGCGGGCATTGTCCATGTAAAGCGCAGTGTGTATGTACTAAACACCTAGATCCAGTGTGTGGCTCAGACGGACAAACCTATGGAAACCCTTGTGCGGCAAAATGCAAGTAAGTTTTTCTTGGTATTTTCAATCGATTTACTGGTTATTGAAGGCACTAGTAAAGCAATTAGTATACTATTTGCAATGCGACGTTATAGGGAACATGGCCTGCTTTATCAGGGAAGTCAGTATGACTTTTCACAAACACACCTTCTTTATTCCTGTCTTTTTCTAAATTGCTGATGAGTAAAATGTGAAACATCAGACCTCGTCGCAAAACTTAAAATACTACAGACTGTGTTAAACAATTTTTCATTAAAAGTTTTGTCTTCTATTCTTCATAGTTTTTCGTCTGTTTTTTAGAGGTGTCCAAGTAAAGTGCAAGGGCAGGTGCCCTGTGGCGATTGTTATTGCCCTTATAACTTCAACCCTGTGTGCGGCGCGGACGGACAAACATACCCAAACTCATGCTCAGCTGCATGCTCGTATGTGAATAAGTAAAAATATCTACCACTTTTCATATTATTGTTATTCTGTTTGACTAAAGATGTGGTCAGTTTAAAACCTGCTTTCGGCTTACGTAATTTCTTTAGATACTAGTTACACTTGTATATCAGATTTATCAAGTTTTCTTATGTAATGTAAGTGTTACGTGCTTTTTGTGTGTCGATAAAGGAGCGGATCACTTCGAAAATGTCACAAACACACATTGTCTACAGTGTTACAACTTCTCATATAGCCTCATATTTAGTAATGTATAAAGCTGTTATGATCCCCTCTAATGTTACTCAATGTTATGCAATGTAATCGAACATCCAAATTATCAAAGATTTGTTTTATGACTTGTTGTTGTTTTCTTTGTAGTGGACAAAGAGTACAGTGTCCGTGGGCCTGTCCTTGCCCTGTAACTGGAAAGTGATCACACTTCGGACCGGAGAGAGGTGCTACACAATGTATCATATATAACGGACATATAATAAAATTCCCTTCTTAAAGTGTCGAATTATATAAATATTTGTATTAATAAATGATGTTTTGTTCGGAAAAAAACATATCAGAGAAATTGAGTTATTGTTCTTTTTCTTCCACTGAACGGTGGATACGTTACATTGTCTGAGGTCAATAACACTAGTAAATGCACAGTATTGTTCATAATATTTAAGACAACAAAATGGACAAGAGAACTTGAGGACCACTTTATAACCGAAGGATAAATAGAAATGATCTGTATGAGTAAGTGTGAACCACTATAGGGTATCCGTTTAATCAATTAATTAATTATGACGCCGACAACAATGAAAAGTTAAGAAGTATTTTGTTGTATTTATTGGTTTTGGATATTCCTCGAACGCTGAGGCATGGCATTGTTCTGGGGTTGAACAGGGTCCCGATCCCTATCATGTACGCAATCAAACAATCACAGAGGTTGACAAATCGAAATTGTCATTATAACACTGACCTGCCTATGTTAATGATTTCCTTACGTTTTATTTACATATATGCTTATATTTATCATATTCCCATAACTAAAAGTATCGAACTTTTATTATTAGCAAAGAGTCACGTTTGTATGTTAATTTATCAGCAGCAAAATATGTCAAGACGCAAATATTACACCTGTCAATGAAGCAGCCAGTTTTAATTCACATGCAAAACTGTATACAGTATGTTCCAGCATGTTCACACAGGTCCTACTCATTTCGATTTTCTGTTTTAGATATGTTACAATTTCATTTAGGTAGGTGAACTAAAAAAATAAAATTAATGGGGCTTGTTTCGTTAACCTGATAGTGAATGTCTTAAAAAGAATATCCAAATTGTATATGCCAATTTCAGTCATTCGTGACTTTATCGTTTATTTCAATCACAAGTCAATCAGACAGTCATTTACCTATGTAAGCCACACACCAAATATCGTTACCATACATTTTAGAAGACGTTGTTTGAAATATTCAAAACATTTAACACTTGTGACGTTCCTATATGAATTATTTTTGGGACAAATATTCGCAAGAGAACAAACAAAAAGTTCTCGTTAAAATAGCAATCAGCAATATTTTCTTGTAGGTACATATTCTGTAACCAGTAATGTTCTAGTATTGTGTCTTGTGTTGGATATGTAATTCTATTACAAATCAACATGAACATGAATGTGTCAGCATCACTTAGCACAGGACCCCTGTAACGTAGAAAGTGAACAAGGTAAATAAATGTTATTGAAGAAAAGGTTTTAGTCCTACACTCGAGCATGATACAAGCCAAATATATATTCTCTACAAATACTCTATACTTCAAACATCTTCAGAAAAAAAGTGCTTTCAGAATATAATACATTTGCCTCCTGTAACATAGAGAGTGGATACAAATTCAGTTATTCGGAAAAAACCCTGAAAGACATTCACCCTGGCAGGCTTTAGGACAATATCCTTATTCTAGGCCTTGTGGGCATATAGAAAAAAACTTAATAAAACGCTATTGTTCGTTACAAGAAGTCATGTAATATTTAACAATCTTGACCAAGACTATTCATTTGAACAAGGTTGGTAGCCATTTACATGTACCTAAGCAATACACAGGCATCTAAATATTCTTGCTCTGGATATTTCAGCTTTTTTAGAAGAGATCTGAAAACGAACGACGCCCAAAAAACATTGAGTGGGAAGATATCCACATCATGATCCCTTACAAAAACTCGAAACTAGATATTTCGGAAAATTACAAAAACAACTATAGTTAGTTGTTTTTCGTGTTGTAGTCATAAAATGTGCCTAGCGTATTTTATCCAAATTGATATAACACGTGATAGCAGAAAAAACATTCTGCTCTCTAACCCATAGGCTTTTGTTTTTTGACATGAACATTACCAATGCTAAGTTTTGGGAATAATTCAAATTTATGAATTAACTGATATTATCTACCAACAAGTCACCTGTAGATCAGTCATTTACTCTGTATAATCTGTTTTGTTTTTCATCTATTTTACTTAAGAGGGAAATGTTACTAAGAGGCCATTTCTGCTGCCGTTTTTACGACATCAATGAATGGTTAAGTGTAATGATCACATAGTATGTTTTTGACAAGACTTTTGTTTCCGCTTGCTTCAATAGATGACTCGATTTTTTCTACGTGGAATAGTGTTTTTTTCTGATAACGGGCATGTTTACACACCGAATCAAGTTAAGAAAAAGAGATAAAACGCTTTGTTCGACCAGGGCTATCGACATCAAGTTCGAATAAGTTGTAGATCCAGACTTCGTTAGAATTTATTATTTATTTTTTCAAAGGAGTTAGTAAAAAGATAAATATTATTAAAAATCGAAGAAAAGATAATAAGAGCGTAGCTCTCGGGCGCCGAAGGTCTTTAATGGTAACACATGCGTGCGTATACAGAGTTGCTTCCCCTTTCTATATCTTGCCTTTCAAATATTTCGTCCGGAAGTAGACGTCAAATGGGGAAACAGGAAGTGTATTCTTGAAGCAAAGACAATTGTGTTGCAACCCATACATGAACATCTTCATATAGTTAAAACAATACCCTTGTTTTATTCCTTGATTATTTAGTTAAAAACTAATATGCATTCTGAGTGAAAAAAATCTATCCCATAAATGTTGATACTAGCAGGCATGAAACGTCGTTCAGAGATTATCATACTATGACGTCACAAGCACGTCTTACTGCGTCGGCCTTCATCGGTAATTTCCGGAAGGATGAAAAATAACCGGAAATCTTGGATCTGATAGCCGTTGCATTTATCTCTTTGTCTGTGCTTCATGACTTTTTAATTTCAGTTTTTGCCACAGGCACAAAAAGTGAAAACGCGGATGTTTTCTGAAGATCCTTTTCGTCATCAACCATGTTCTGTTAAAATTTCTACCGGGAGATATTTTCAAAAAGAGACACATTAAACCAATAGGTCAACGTGTACATTAATTTATTTAAAGCTTTCGATTTCGATTTGTTGTGTATATGATCGAAACAATTAACATTTTTGAAAGTCTGGTTATAGTCTTTACATATTTTATGTATGCATCACCACTCATAAAAGAAACAATAGATAATTCATTTCTGTCGAAATCAACAATAATTGTCCAGCCAACGAACCCGAGTTCAATGACATTTTTCAGCAACGTATCACTTTTTCACAACGCATGCCGATTTATAACTAGTTACAGACAGAAACTGTTTAATTTTATTTGGCATCATTACCTATCAAACCTCAGTGACAGTTACAAAACTTGAAATTCAATCCGGTATTTCAGGATGGAACAGGAATTCAGACTATATATCGATATAACGACAATTTCAGTTACATCAAAGTATTACAATGTTTTCTTTTTTTAATTTCATTTTTTTAACTAACATCTCTATACATTTACTTTTATAGACTTATCGTCAAATATGTAATATGCACTTTGTTCTATAGCAATTACAAAACAGTTTTTCCCCAACTAATTTCAATAATTCTTTTTGTGACCTGACGGAAGCACGCAGAGGATTTAATTCTTGATGTGGGAGGAAGCCGGAGTATCCGGAGAAAACCCGCGTGGTCGGGCAGGTAACTGGGTTTGAATCCGGTCATCTTGGTGAAGACGAGAGCGCTATCCACTGCGCCACCCGACCCATCATATACGTAAATATCTAAGTTAGGTTTGAAAATGGCGTCATTAATGCAAAATTTATATTGCGAATACATTTTTACCAATCATCAACGATACAAAAAATACGGGAGACCGGGGCAAGTTCGGCCACCCCTGATAGTTTTGTTTTTGATCTAATATTTACAACTTTAAAGAATTTAGCAGTTTAGTTGGCTGGGCATTCACACGAAAACATGTCGAGGAAAACTCTAATGGCAAGTTCGGCCCATGTCACACATAAAACGTCGTAAAATATGACGTTGCATGCTTTATAACGTCATAATTAAGCTGATTCCAATGGGGCTAAATTTACCCGAATGCTTGTCCGAACGTATCCCATGGCGGGGCTCGTTCGGCCATCCGATCATCCGACAGAGAAAAATTAAATAATGTTCAAAAACGGACGTGCTGCCATAATTCCCAAACGGACTTTAAAAAAGGACAGAATTTGCCCCGATCTCCCCTATTGTTATGTCGGTCTTAATCTCGTTAAAGTTTATGTTTTTATGTTATCCCTCGACTAGCCGACTTTAAATACATTTTATCTTACCTCATTCTGAAAGCAGTATTATCTCATTCTGAATCAGTAAATATCAGAGATCAACAAAAGCTTCGCTCTTTTAAGGCTTTGCCTATTCATATTATTGATATGAAAATCTTATCAATTGCAGCACCAATACGGAAATGACTATTGTTTTTACCTACCGAAGTAAAGTTAATGCACCTACATGCACGTGTTTGAAAAGATTCGAATGTGTAACACCAAAAGTCTGAATAGCATAGCGATGTCCGTCTGTTTTTGCTTCCGCTGTTTCCTTGAAAATGTATGCGCTACTCAGGTACCTACCAGTCGTTAAATGTCGTTTAATCTATATCGAGGACGACTGACACAGATGATTGTAACAGTAATGCCATAAATGGATATTATTTATGGTTATACACACACACGTAATCAATATGTCTGACGACTAACAGATCCCTAGAATTGCCGGGGGAATTCTGTCGTTAGGATATTTTAAATAAAGATTATTAATGTTAGGATCACAAAACAGCTCTGTAGCGTTTTATCACTTTTATTGCATGGAAACAATGCATTCAGTTAACTAACTCTGACGTTGTCACAGGTGTCGCTATCCTTAGTGGTTAATAAACATTGTACCTGTCACAAACATTTACAAAACACAATTAGTCTCCACCACAAATTACTGAGTGACATCAAAAGGTAAATTTAACACTCATTGAAGCCCCTCAATGGTCATTTAAAAGTGGGTTCTGAGGAAAAAAACAATAGTTACCAGGAAAGCGTGCACATAATGCAAGCTGTATCCTCGTTGAATAAATTAACTTTGATTAATGTAAAACCCTATTTAACGAACTACGTGGCGGCAGGCAAGTATATAATAACTTAATATTAGCTGTTACCTAACAGTACAAGATGAGGTTTTCACTAGCAATACTTCTTGTACTCGCATGCTATTTACAGATTGACCAGGTGCAGTCAAGACGTAAGTACGACCACATGTCTTATTACGGGATCTTTTACTCCTGTACTATGTATTTTGAATTTATTAAAGTATATTTTTTTCAGTTTGTTTGACGTTAAAAGGACTCTAGATGTATTGTTAAGTGATGAGTGTGCTGATCAATATAATGTATATATGTCCATTTGACAGGAGAACCAGTATGTCGTGGACTACCTGTGTGCGGAACCGATGGAACGACATATAAGAATAAATGTTTGGCTAATCGACGGTATGCACGCTTTATACTTTGCTGAAGTGTTACATAGTAACTGTAAATAGCTGCGTACATTTAATAAAGGATTGAATCTTGCATAGAGAGAAATGTTTGAGAGAAATGATGTAGGTTGATATCTCTCTCTCACGGATATGCCTATTGTATTTCTCCATTTTTAGCGCAATTTCCCATAAAATAGTTTCAGAATTCAATATCTGGTTCATTATCAACAGAATGGGCTGCCTAAGGTTAAGAACGGACTCCGGTATGTTGGTAGCTTCAGATAAGGCCTCTAAGCAGGATATTATATATATGTAAATAATAGTCTAGATTGTTCTTATTTCGGGGAAGAGATTGTAACAATTAAAGTTTGGCTTTGTCAATTTAAATGTTACATGTTCGTATGCAGATCAACATAGAAATAAAGAGCATTTAAAAGATACCCACGGAAATGACTTATGCTGTATAAAAAAATAGGGACAAGTGGGTTGGTTTTGAGTGTCCTGATGAGCTGATTTGCTTTGCAGAAATAAAATACCTTATTTAATAAATCCACAGAGGTGCCACCGTGAAGTGCGATAGAAAATGCCCGTGTAAGCCCGACTGTATATGTACCGCGGACTACAAACCAGTATGTGGGGCGAATGGTAAAACCTACAGCAACGGGTGCATGGCCAATTGCGCGTGAGTAGATTTATTGTTGATGTTTTGTCGAAATGAGTATCCTTCGAACACGTCTAAATTACAGCAATAATATCATGTATCTTTGAATAATGACTAGAATAAATTTTCATATCTGTGTCGAAGCTAATATTCAACTGCATCGTTTGACCACTTTGTCCTTTAAGACTATCAATGGTTTTCAATGTCAAAAGAAAGAAACCCATGTCCGAAACAAGTTGAATGCAATATTGTATTACAATCACAACTATTTTTACGATTGTGCTAAATAAATGTTTTCAGCTTATGAAAATATAAGCGAAGATTCAGTTTTCTCCCTGACATTCGGTATTAAGTAACTTTTGTGATTCTTACATAATTTATCTTCTATTTCAATAAGAATCCATTGTCTTAAAAATAATAAGACACAATGACAAATAATTTACCTCTCAAGATCAATATTACCTAATATTACCAGCGATAATATAGTCATGCGGAAACATTATAATCCGCCATCCACAGCTTACTTTTTCTTGCAAAATTATCAAATTATATTTCAATTGATTACAATAAATTTCTCTATAAATGGTATATCTTCAGGATTCCTTAAAGTACACCATGTCAATATGTACAAACATATATTAGCACATATTTGTTAATAAGCAGCAATGCATGTTAAGATACTTAAATCTGTTATGAATCTTACTTCTAAAATTCATTAATAAAATGGAGGAGTCAAAATTAAGACAAGTAAGGTTAGAACTGTTATTTAAAGCGACATTTCCGCATTTCTGTTGAAGCTTTAAGAAATCATTGAAATATGTCTTTATGAATAAATCTGAACTCTAAGTGTCATTGAGCAATAACAAGGATTGTTTTCCACTGGAAACTATATATTTGCGGTGAAATATGAAGGCATTTCTTAAACGGGGCTTATGGAAAAAGTTAACACGATTTGGAAATCAAACGGTATAACAAACCAATCTAGTTGTTGTCTACAGTTTTCGGAATTTCAAATATATATACTGGAGGTTGATGAAATCGTGACATCAAAAACATTTAATTTACAGTACCCTACGACAATGTTTTATACATTATGTGCATTGTATATAACCTTTTCTGCAGAGGTGTTAAAACCAAGTGCAAAGGCACTTGTCCATGTCGACCATGTGCTTGTCCATTCAGCCTGAAGCCAGTATGCGGGGCGGACAAAAAGACATACCCAAATTCGTGTACAGCTTCTTGCAAGTATGTGTGTTATCATATATTTCAATTATACACCACTTCATTTCTTTATTATGTTTTCATTACATATTCAGCTGTGGTACATGCATACGTTCCAACTAACTCAAACTAACAAAAGCAGTTTATACATTGCAATATTTTTGAAAATAGTTTTGATTGCAATTGGAGATTAAACATTTAAACAGACTACCTGTATTCAAAACAATACAGATATCCAGGCTTTTGATTGAGACTTTAAATAGAAAATGCAGATGATTTATTGATAGCAGTATTGCATATACATATGTACATATTGAAACAAAAGATTTCTTAGCCTCTAAGGAAAGTTTCAATGAAAATGTAAGTTATATGGCTCCATCGTCTGTCAGTTTTTCGTAATACCGTCTGATAGAAGATGTTTTTTACCACATGCTCAGTGCTTACCTCTTGAAGATGATGATAGTAATCATGTGATGCGTTCTAACATGAGATATATTAAAATATTTATCCTGTGCTATATGTTTATATCGACTAAGCCCTACACAATGTTTGTAATGTATTTCTCAGACGTGTAAAGGTTCTGTGCAATGGCAAGTGTCCGTGTCGACAAATGTGTAAATGCCCCGGTACCAAAAGTCCAGTATGCGGGGTGAACGGACAGACATACAAAAACGCATGTGAAGCTTCATGCAAGTAAGTGCAAATTCAACAATAGAGCTGTATCTTAGTTAAACTCGCATGCTGTTTTTCATAATTTGATTATTGTAAACTTAATCATTGTTATAATGTCTGCATATTTGGGTGTGACTTTCGAACAGTAAGTTGATTGCTATACTAATTTACCTATGCCAGTCTATTCATTGTTCAATCAGCTTCATTTAAGACTCTGGAAAAGATCTTGAAGTGTAATGTCTAGAATCTATGAACTTATATTCCTACAAAATATACGGACATAAGTCCCAACTGGTGGTACATATACTATGTTTCCGCAGCTTTTATTCCCAGTTAAACTACGTTGTTGCCATAGTTATTTTGTCCTAATTATGGTTAAATTCAACTGATCGGTTCTAACCAAAAGTAACAGAGGAAGAAGGATAAATAAATTCAATTGATAAAATATTTAGATTTTTTTTACTGTCACAACAAACAAGTTTAAGACAAAGACGTAGCAGTATTATAACAGAGAGTAAACAATTTATCTGCTTGAGATCTTTTGCCTCTTGGAACGCATTGAAAACGAAATAGTAAAAATAAATATATGTGTATGTATATATGAATATTATCACTGGATAATACATACATGGTAAATATATAGAGAGGATGAAAACCGCATCTAGGGTAATATATTGAAAGAAATATATGGTAAACAGTTAAAGAGGGTATACACTTCAATACTGTTCACGCCTGTGTTCATGTACCAAGACAGCGAATGAAGGCAAAGAGTTCAGGCCGTAGAGATGAGAAGTTTTAGAAATCTCTCCTATATCCCGTACTATAGCAATATAACTAATGTTATAGTTATTGTCTACAGTTTTCGGAATTTCAAAATATGTATACAGCAGGTTTATGAAATCGTGTCATCGAAAACATTAAATTTACAGTACCTTACGACAATATTGTATACATTATGTATATAACCTTTTCTGCAGGGGTGTTAAAACCAAGTGCAAAGGCACTTGTCCATGTCGACCATGTGCTTGTCCATTCAGCCTGAAGCCAGTATGCGGGGCGGACAAAAAGACATACCCCAATTCGTGTACAGCTTCTTGCAAGTATGTGTGTTATCATATATTTCAATTATACACCACTTTATTTCTTTATTAAGTTTTCATTATATATTCAGCTGTGGTACATGCATACGTTCCAACTCAAACTAACAAAAGCAGTTGATACATGCAATATTTTTGAAAATAGTTTTAATTGCAATTGGAGATTAAACATTTAAACAGACTACTTGTATCTAAAACAATACAGATATCCAGGCTTTTGATTGAGACTTTAAATAGAAAATGCAGATGATTTATTGATAGCAGTATTGCATATACAGATGTACATATTAAATTAATAGATGTCTTACCATCTAAAAGAAGTTTTAATGAAAATATAAATTATATGGCTCCATCGTCTGTCAGGTTTTCATTATACCATCTGATAGAAGATTATTTTTACCACATGCTCAGTGCTTACCTCTTGAAGATGATGATAGTAATCATGTGATCCGTGCTAACATGAGATATATTAAAATATTTATCCTGTGCTATATGCTTATATCTAATAAAATATAATATTTATCACCTGATCCGTGCTAACATCTGAATAAGGATAACATTAATCATGTCAACCGTGCTCAAGTATTACAAAGGATGCTAGGTCCCACGTGATCCTTGCTTATACCTGATAGGAAAAAGAGGTCATCAGGATATTCTAAGGGAAAATGATGATATGTATCACGTGGCACATGCTAGCATCTGATTGATAATATTAACATATCACGCCGTCTGTGCTTAAATCTGTACTTACTTAAAAACACATTCAGGGAAAAATAACAATTGGCCTCTATTAGCTATCATCTTTGTGATATTATTCTTTCAAGTATGCAAGATGGTCCAAAAACATGTATTAACCAAAGATTATATTTGCGTTTGTACCTTAGTCGAAGTTTTGTCCCTATCAACGATCCTTATCGTCACATCCATTATTACATTATGTCATTTTGAAATATCCCGTCGTCAAGACGTGTACGTTTACCTGTAATGTTCCACAGTGTTGTAAAAGTCACGTGCAGTGGCAATTGTTCTTATCGTCGAAGAGGTAAATGCTCGTTTCCTCCGCAGTAACCCCTCAAAATATGATGAAACAGACACTCATATTTTTAATTGTTTACAAAACTACTATACAAATATTTATTCCACAATGATATGTGTAATTTAAATATCTATACACAAAATACAAACATTATCGAAATGTTTTGCGTTTAATTATGTAAAGAATGCTAGCTTATTGAATAATATTTCACTTAAATAATACCAANTTCTAACCAAAAGTAACAGAGGAAGAAGGATAAATAAATTCAATTGATAAAATATTTAGATTTTTTTTACTGTCACAACAAACAAGTTTAAGACAAAGACGTAGCAGTATTATAACAGAGAGTAAACAATTGATCTGCTTGAGATCTTTTGCCTCTTGGAACGCATTGAAAACGAAATAGTAAAAATAAATATATGTATATATGAATATTATCACTGAATAATACATACATGGTAAATATAAAGAGAGGATTAAAACCGCATCTAGGGTAATATATTGAAAGAAATATATGGTAAACAGTTAAAGAGGGTATACACTTCAATACTGTTCACGCCTGTGTTCATGTACCAAGACAGC